GAAGGTTTCAACTGTTTTGAAAACTTTTCCATTATGTGCAACAAAGAAAATTTGCTCTTTTGAATAAAAATGATTAAAACATGAAAATCTTACATCATCCATGTGTTCCTTCTAAAGCTGCTGCAGGACTTATTGTTGCTTCTTTTAAAAAGGCCGATGAATTACTAACGACTAACTCTTGCTGCAGTTTTGCAGTGCAGCTTAGACTTTGTAAAAATCTTCCACACTTCATATTTGCTTACAGACGTTTTGTTCAGTATACCGATGCACATGAAACACTAATAATCAAAGTGTGATGTGAGCAGTAAGCCTCACATGAACAGAAAGTTTTGACTTATTTCTCTCAGATTAGTTGTCTCGATTTTTAGAAACGCACGGACACATCACATTAGGCCTACGAGAGAATTTCAAATGTCAGTTATTAACTGACATTTGTCTGTACGTGGGAGCCTTTGTCAAGGCGGCCTTTTGCCAATGGGTTTACAGTGAGACCGAGTATGGTGGAAGCAGGGGGGGTTTATTTCCCCACACATATATAACGCCATGGATAAGCCACAAAATCATGATCCTGCCTAATGACCAATGGCAGCCTTAAATGGGACGAAACCATTACTTACTGTAAATTACTGCGTAAAAACAGTGTCAACGTCCGGCAAACATCATGTAGAAAAAGAGTTAAATATGTAACTTCTTTGCACTGAGAGAAAGTTTCACCGGTCTGACCCACTTAAGATCACAGTGGGCTATGTGTGGCTTGTGGTGGTCGAACAGCCCAGCCCGAGTACTCAATCCACTCGCTCATCGTTACAGTCTGACAGGACAGCACAACAGCTTCTTTCTTAAAGACGTCTTGATGCACGGGCGAATATTCAGGTAAGTAAATCCCAAAAGGTTGATTGTGTTGATGTGGATGTAGCGTTTCAGTGGGAGAAGAAAGCAGCAGACACCATGAAGGTATCAGTTTTCTTTATTGACAACAATTTTGAATATTTAAATTGAATATAATATATTATTTACTATTATTGTAATTTTCTTACATTTAGGAAGACATTATGATGTAAATACATCAGTTCAATTAGTTGCCATAATTGTCTTTAAATAATGATAATAATTAGGGTGGTTGATGTGTGAGTTTCCATCAACAACAATGTTATTTCTTATATTTTGCTTCATAAGTGAAATGAATCCAGTCTGTATCCACACAGACTGTTTATAAGAAACCTGCAGTCAGCTGAGACTGAAGACGTCACCTGATGATGATGCCGCTACGAACAGATGAACTGAATCAACTTTTAGAGATATCCACACAGAGGTTTAACAGTGTGTGGCTCCCTCTAGTGGATGTTGTGGAGTATTCTGTTGTCTTTGCTCCAAAGGTTTTTGTACAGAGTTTTGCTGTTTCCTGTCACTGTGGGCTTCAGAGCACAGTAGTACACAGCAGAGTCAGACAGCTGAAGCTTCTGGATCTTCAGATGAACTGAATTTTCTTTGAGTTCAGCATCAAATCTGTCCTTTGGGAATTCCTGAGCATTATCTCCGGTTGTTTTATCACGTCGTAAAACATATTTTGGAAAGTCATTTACTTCTTGTTTGTACCAGAACAAATATGGATATGTATCAGTTGTTTCAAAGTTACATCCAAGTGTAACTGTGTCTCCTTCAGCAGCAATGACATCTCCTTGGTCTTGGATCACTTTGTCTTCTCCTTTACACTCTGAGGAAGAACAGAACATGCAGAAGAAGAGATGGATCAATAAAGATGGTTAAAAAGTCTCCATTAATCAGACAAACACATTTATTTAAGCAGAGGAAACATGTTGATGTTTGTATCTCACCAAAGAAAAGAGCAGCAAGAATAATCCACAGCCAATGTTCCATCTGTACAACAAGGTTTAAATCAACAGGAGAAACTAGCAGATGTTCAACATTCAGTCTGAGAATTGTTCTCTTCACAGCAGCACTTATTATTGACACAATGGTTGAACACAGTGCAGAAGGAGAGCACCGCCTACTGGATGATGTCGCCCTCTGTCTCCTCTTTGAGCTTCACTTCTCTCACTTCCTCTTCCTCCTGCTTCACAGACTGTTAGCAGCATTTGAATCACTGTGAGGAGGGAGGATGGAGCACTTTGCACTGTGTGCACAACGACCCAAATGTTCTCCATTACTGAGCTCCCACGAGAAGAGCAATGAAAGAAAATATAAATGGTCACAAACAGAACTTATTTCTTTGGGTTTCTGGTGGGTGGTTGGACTGGAGCGGTGTCTTGGGTAGATAATGACCATGACATGGATTTGGGCGAGTGGGCACTGGGTCGTCGGATTGTTGGTTTCTTTATAATATTGCTCTTTGAGGCAACTTTGATGTTTTATGTGTTTATGTGTTGGATGTGACTGTGGACTTGGTTAGGTTGATCGGTGCTGTGAGTGTCATCATGGATGTGTGGTAAATACTTCGGCATCGACATGAGCGAGGCAGAAATAAAGAGCATGATAAAGCAGAAATGGTGGAAACGTTGGAAAAGCAGTGGGCGGAGGAAAAAGAAGGATGACGGTGTTACAGGAGTCTGAGGACAGCAGGAGAGAGAGGACTTATCAGCACTTTGATTTGGATGCTCTGGTTTAAACAGCACATGGTTCATAACAGGAAACAGGACACAAGGAAATGTGACAGCTGTGAGGAAACCAAGCATCATCTTACACCAGGCTGTCAGAAACATGCGGCTGAGAGCTGCAGACTGATCCCAAACCTCATTAAGCCATTGACAGCGAAACTTTCAGGTCATGTTAAAGTAACAGAATCAGTTCTTTTTCTCAGCGACGCGCTCGTTCACACTTCCCACCAGTTTGGTACGAAGCTGGTCTGCCAGCAGCCGTAAATCACTACAGAGGGTGAAGGCAGCAGAGCACATCACTGGAGGCTTCCTGCCATTCAGGACATTTACCTCCAGCGATGCCTCCGTAAAGCTCACAGCATCATCAAGAACCACAGCAGCACATCAGCTGTTCTCCTTGTTACCATCTGGCAGACGTTACAGGAGTCTGTCTGCTCGACTACAAGACTTAAAAACTGTTTTTACCACCAAGCCATACGACACCTCAACCACAACACTTAAACACACAACACAGTCAGAAGCTGCAGCTTCACAAGTACTCTGTTTAATCTGCACTGGTCACTTCACTTTATTGTTATTGATATTTATATTTAAAAAGTGCAATACTGTAATTTTCTGCTGCTTATTCCTGTGCAATATCCCATCTGCTCTCCCGTCATATTTCTTTTCAAGATTTTCTTATTTAATCACTAGTGTACATATATTTATATTTATAGATACATATATATTTAGTCATCTTTTCTCTTTTACCACGGCTCTCTAATATTTTGCTCCTTACTATTATTCTATTTTTATTCTATTTTATTATATTTTCTCCTACTGTATCATGCTGCTGAGTGACTGCTGCTCGTCAAATACATTTCATTGCAATGTTGACCCTGTGGTAACTTGCATATGACAAATAAAACTGAAAACTGAAAACAGCAGATGGCGCTAATGCACTATTTCCCTGTTTTCCAACCACTAATATCGGCCTTCAACTGACGGAACTTCACATTGTGACACCAGGCGGAAGTAAACAAAGAAAAGGCGGAAGAACCGTTAGCTTTCCTCCCGTGTGTCTGAGCACGAAGTGTGTGAGCTGTGTCAGTAACAATGCCTTCAGTTCAGTATCTGAGAGAGTTTATCAACGAGCGACTAACTGCTGCTGCTGAACAAATATTCTTGGAGTTTGAAAAAACGATCGTCCAGTACGAGGAAGAGATCGACCGTCAGCGCAGACTGCTGGATATCACCTGGAAACCGGAAATCAAGCTGCACAGGACAGGTGAGTGTCCCTCTGAGGGAGGATCCTGATCACAGCTCTGCGGGACGTTTCTGATTGTGACG